GGGGGCCTCGGGCGCGCCTCGACCTCCCTCCGCCCTCCCCCGCCCGCGCGCCGGGTGATGGTGTACCTGTGCCGGGCGCCTGTCTGCTTCCGCCTTCCCTTTCCTTCCGCCTCTCAGGGAGGAGGAAGACCCGAGGGGACCCGCCTCCGTGCTGGGGAGGGGGCTTGGCCTCTGGGGTCCAGCTTCCCAGCCAAGGGAAGGAAGGGGCGGCGGCGGCAGAGCCTCTCCTCTGGACGCCTTCCCGCGGGTGGGACCTTGGCTGGGCTGGCAGAACCCTTGAGGGCCGCTCCTCGTGGGGGGCGTGTCTGTTGGGGAAGGCCCCTTCCTGCCCTTTCTCCCTGTTTGCAATCCCCCCGGGGCTGTTGCTTCATCTCTGCCCTGTTTGGACTACCCAGCTGGTGGCTTTTGCAATGACTGTTCTTTCTTTCTTTCTTTTTTTAAGTCGAGTCTCACCCTGTCGCCCAGGCTGGAGTGCAGTGGCATGCTCGTGGCTACAGCAGCCTCCGCCAGCTAGGCTCAGGCTGTCTTCCGCCTCAGCCTTCTAAGTAGCTGAGCCCACAGGCACACACTTTCACACCCAGCTGATTTTTTTATTTATTGTAGAGTCGAGGTCTTACCAAGTTGCCCCGGCTGGTCTCGAACCCCTGGGTTCAGGTGATCCTTTCGCCTTGGCCTCCCAAAGTGTTGGGATTACAGCTGTGAGCCACCGTACCCGGCCTGTAATGTCCTCTTGATCATGGCCTGGAGTGGGGACATTGCAGCCAGCCACTGAGGTCCCCACCTCCCCCTGCGGTTGTGAGGGTAGAGTTTCCTGGCTTTCCACCATGTCTAGCACTTGCTTTCTGGGTCTCCCAGGTCCTGTTCTCAGGAGTGTGGGTCCCCACAGAGCCCCAGGAAGCCCAGGTTTAGAGAGGGAGAGTGTTGCTGAGAGTGGACCCAGATGCCCAGCAGAAGACTTAGCAGACGCTCAGTAGGAAGTTTGTTTCTTTTTCACAATTTTTCCTTTTAAAAAATAGAGGCAGGGTCTTGCTGTGTTTCCAGGCTGATCTTGAACTCCTAGCCTCAAGCAGTCCTCCTGTCTTAGCCTCCCAAAGTGCTAGGGTTACAGATGCGAGCCACCACGCCCAGCCACAGTAGGAAATTTGTGTGTGTGCTCTGGTGACCCGTGTCGCTGAGGTCCAGACATCCCAAGACAGTGTCCCAGGGAGTGCTGACTTGACTCCAGGGCCAGCCCAGGTAGGAACCTCCAGCAGAGATCCCCAGCGGAGAGCTGCCCAGGGCAGGAAGGGGCTGTTTCTGGAAGTCGGGGACTCAGGCTGGGCTCTGGTCACCCCAGGGCAGGGACGCCCAAGGCTGTGCCTGAGTCTCTGAAGGTGTTGCCTGGGTTGAAGACCCTGGGACTCCTTGCAGGCAGTGATCCCTTTGTGAAGAGCCCCCCACCCTGCACCTTGGGGCTTCGGAGCAGAAGGGCAGGATGCAGGTTTCCAGGTGGGCTCAGGTTCCTGGGAGGTGGTGCTGCCTACCCTGTGCCCGGCCAGGGGATGGCAGGTCTACTTCTGAGGCCATCGGGGCATCCTGGGCATGTCCTGCGTCCTGAGATGCAGGCAGAGGGCCAGGCTCTGTGCTCTCAGTAGAAGTGTCTGAGGGCCCCTGACCTGGGAGACCGCTGGAGGAGGCCCCCCACTTAGGAGCCAGGCTGTGCGTGGCTGCTGGCTGCCGCATCTTTGAGAGGCCTGCCTTATTCTTCTGGGGCCACTGCCTGGACCCCAAAGCTGCTTCCCTGGGCAACATCAGAAGCCACCGGTGGCCCATTCTGATGTGGCAGCTGGACCTGGAAGGCTGGTCAACCTAGCCCTGCCCCTCCTGTCTCACCTGCTTACCCTCTCCACTTTCTGCCCAGAGATTCTGGCTGCAGGACCCTGAAGACTCTGGTAATGCTCAGATGTGGCCTTCCTGCCACCCTTCCCGCCCAGGGCAGCACCCAGACTCAGGCCTGCGAAGGGGCGGCTTCCGGGACCCTGGCTGGGTAACAACAGGTGCTTTGTTTCTGCTGGCGCTTGGGTCCCCAGGGAGGAGGGAGGAATGAAGGGCGGGGAACCTGGAGGGAAGGCTGGGATCCCACAGCCTCATTACCTCACACCTCTGCTGCCCACGCCCCGAGCTTCAGGCTCACTGGAGTGACTCCAGACTCCAGCCATGGCCAAGAGCGGGGTTGAGGAGGCACAGTGTCACTCTCAGGAAGGGACCCCAAGCCAGGTGCTGTGGCTCACACCTATACTTCTAGCACTTTGAGAGACTTAGGCAAGAGGATCACTTGAGCCCAGGAGTTTGAGACCAGCCTGGGCAACATAGCGAGACCTCATCTCTACATACACACACACACACACACACACACACACACACAAGATAGAAAAATGAGCCAGGTATGGTGGACCACACCTGTAGTCCCAGCTACTCTGGAGGCTGAGGCAGGAGAATGGCCTGAGCCTAGGAGGTCAAGGCTGTGGTGAACCGTGATCATGCTACTACACTTCAGCCTGGGCGACAGAGGGGGACCCTGACTCAAAAACAAAACAAAACAACCAGAAAAACAAACGAAAAAAGAATTAGATTCAGTTGCAGGATCAGGGCACCCTAATAGCAGCTTAACCAACAAAGAAACTTGCTTTTTCTTGCACCAAGAAGACCAGATGCCAGCTTGGGGTCACAGAGTGTCCAGCTCCTTTGTCCTGTGACCCCACCATGCTCAGAGTCCAGGAGAGGAAAGGGGTGCCCTTGTTACTAAGGATACCCCTCTTAACCGAACCATCATAAAGCTCTCAGCTGCAAGGGTGGTGCTGGTTCCATGTAGCTTGTGCCCACGCAAAGCACAGAGGTTGGAGAGTGGGCATCGATCTGGCCGCAGAAGCTGGGGAAATTGCCAGCCCCTGCACGGTCCTGAGTCCCTTGACAGATGCATGCTGGGGACACAGTGTTATCACACTGGAGCCTTGGTCCTGCGGGGAGCTGCCCTGTTTCTTCTAGGGTGTCATGGTGGGAGGGAGGCGGACATCTGTCTTCCAGGGATCACTCTGCAGGCCCAGGTAAGAGAGCTCTCATGAGCTCCGAAGTCTTTGCTTTTCATGAGTGGTGGGAGGGTTTCCCCAGTCCCGCCTCCTTCCAACCCGTTTTTCTCCTCAACACACCCTCTCCACATTCACTCCTCCCACTGTATTTATTTATCTGAGTCAGAGTCTCACTCTGTTGCCCAGGCTGGAGTGCAGTTACTGCAACCTTGACCTCCTGGGCTCAATCGATCCTCCCTCAGACTCCTAAGTAGCTGGGACTATAGGCACATGCTACCATACCCAGCTAATTTTTCAATTGTTTTGTAGAGACAGGGTCTCACTATGTTGCCCAGGCTGGTCTCAAACTCCTGGGCCCAGGCGATCCTCCCGCCTCAGCCTCCCAAAGCGCTAGAATTAGAGGTGTGAGCCACCATGCCCATCCTCTCCTGTTTTAACACTTTCAGGTGTATGCACAGGCTGGAAGGTCCCCACCCCCAAGGACCTGTCCCCTTTGTACTCCAGCTCATATTACACTTGTTGGAAAACTCCCTGCTCTGCCAGGTGCCTCAGTGGGGTCTCCCTGCCCTGAGGCCATCAAGGGTTCCCCATACGTCCTGTCACCAGCGGGGCTACCCTGAGTGAGCCCACCCAGCCCTTTCTTTGGACAAGGCCCCAGCCTGGCCCATGGGATCTGGCCGAGGACTGGCGAGTCTCGGCCTAAAGAACTGCCTGGGTCTCCCGGGAGCGGCCCAGGCCAAAACCAGGAACCGAGGGCAAGGGTCAGCTAGTAGCATTCTGTGAGGACAGCCAGGCAGGCTAGTGGCCTGGGCCCTGGCCTTGAACCGTGGACAGCTACCTGGGGTAGGTGCTGGTGGGATGGGGGACTAGGCGGGTCAGGGGCCTTTCACTTGGATTTATGTAGGGTTCCTTTCCACATGTGTCATGGTAATCACAGCCACTATTGACCGGAGGGCCTCTCCCCGGCTTAGGGGGGTCAAGTCCATTGCCCAAGGTCGTAGCTGATAGGGACCCAGGATCCAAATCGTTTATGGCGCTCAGTTCTAGGCCGGCGGTCCCAGTGTGGAGTGATCTCAGGCCCAGGGCTCCAGGTAGAGCATGGATACCCCCTCAGGAGGAGCTGGCCACCCCACGGGGCTCGGGCCATGGGTATTCAGCTTCCCACACTTCCTGCCATGTTGCACAAGGCTGGCACTGGTCACCCGCTGGGCAGCAATGCTTCCAGAGTGCCGGGCTGGACACTCAACCCAGCCCTGGGCCGTTTGGGCTTCAGGCAGCCTTGACCTTGTCCCCCGCTGGGGTGCCAGGTGCAGTGGCGAGTCCAGGGTGTGGAGTTGGGGCTGGAGGTGGGGCCAGCAGCTGGAGTTGTGAGACTAGGTCCTGGGTCCAGCATGGTGATATCTGCCTGGCTCTTTTAGGGGAGAGGACAGGGTTGCCTCTGTACCCCTGTGGTTGACAGGAAGAAGGGAGCTCAGATAAGGTGGGGTGTTTGGATATAACAGGTGAGGTGGGGACAGCCTGGGGACTGGGGCTTTGGCCCCTTTGCGCTTCCTGCTTGGAGAGGCCAGAGCAAACTCCCTAATCAGCTGGAGGGTTAAGTGAGGGCTGTTGAGCCCGGGAGAGAGAGGGAAAGAGGAGGATGGGGTTCTTTTTGTTTCATTTGTTGTAAGTTAGGGTCTCACACTATTGCCCAGACTGGCACAATCATGGCTCACCACAGCCTTGACCTTCTGGGCTCAGGCAATCCTCCTGCCTCAGCCTCCTGAGTAGCTGGGACTACAAGTGTGCATCACCATGCCTGGCTAGTTTTTACTTTATTTTATTGTGTAGAGGCGAGCTCTCGCTTTGTTATCCAGGCTGGTCTTGAACTCCTGGACTCCAGCAGCCCTCCTGCTTCGACCTCCCAAAGTGCTGGGATTACAGGCATGCATCACCATGCTTGGTCTATGTTATGACATATATATATATATATATATATTTATAATTTTTTTTTTTTTTTTGAGT